CGAATCTGCATCCTCATTCATCCTGATTATTTTTTGTGAAACTTACATCTTTTAGTTGTGAAACTTACATCTTTTAGTCATAAAACTATGTGTTGTGGTCTTTCTTTTTTGTATTGCATTATGATGTTTTGTGAAAAATCTGTATGTGATGGAGAAAAATGAATATCATTCTTGGATTCATCATACAGGAATTAGTGTAGAACTTGTAAAAATATCAAGACAATAAAACCATTGCAGGCCTGTGTAGTTAGCAAGAACATTGTTACTTAAATTAAAATATAACTAAGTTGAATGTCATAAAAATAAAATGCTATAAAAAGTAAGGAACAACAATGGGAAACATGATGATTAAAGTAACGTAACCCAGTCAACAATGAAATGCTAGATTAACACAGGAAAAAAAGAAATATACACACCTTAGAATAGTAAGCCTCCACAGAAATATTCCAACAGTTCTTAACAGAACAAGTGAATAAGCTAATGTTCTCAAAAGAAACTAGCCCAAAGAGTAAGATTTTTCATATAAAATATGATTGATTCATTTATTGTATTAAAAACTAAAATACAGTAACCCCTTTTTTGCATACAGTATTACCAAAAAATGACGCAATGGTCTAATGATTGACTGATGCTGCTTTAAAAGACACAGCAGTTACATATACAGAAATAAAATATTTGGAAATATTGTAATACTAATGCATTTATTCGTGTTTGTGTATAATATCATGGAGTTAATCCATAATTGTAATAATGCAAGTAAGTAAACAGTGCACAGCCAACATAGCTATCTGATACTTATATACATATCTTTAACTTAAATTAATATTTAGTTTAACCAGTTTAATGTTATCATTAATGCACAAAATATTAAGCCAACATTACCTTTAAATCTCTATGAATAAGGCCTTTGGAATGAATATAAGCTATGCCTTTCAATATCTGCTGGAAAATTTTCAAAACTGTATCTTCGTCTACCTTTTGAAATACTTCTGCAAAAAATAAAAAATTTCAATGAAAGTCTCATTTATTAACTACTAGCTGAGTTACCCGGCGTTGCACGGTGAAAATTGAGATTTGAAATGTATAGATCAGTATTTTTTCAGCAAATTATTCAGTAAGTAGACAAAAGCTGTGATGCGAGAAATAAAAAAG